GCGTGGGCCGGCGGAGCCGCTGACGAGGACGGGAGAGTAACGACGGCCCGATCCATCCCGCGACGCCCCTTCCAGAACGAAGGGCAGGGAGACCGGCGCAAACGCTGCCGCAGTCTCTTTCCAAGAGGGAAGAAGGGAGACGGACTGAGCGCCCTTGCAGGCAGCTGCCTCATCCTTCCTTCCTCCCTCTGCTCGCTCTCAAGAGGAGTCGCGGTCCATGCTGCAGCCGAGGGCTTCAATATCGTTGCTGATGTGCGAGATCATTCGGTCCCACTCGTCTTCTTCTGAGGGCACAGACTGGTCATCTGAGCTCCCGGCAGCTCCGTTGCCGTTGGTCGTGGAATTGGAGGTTGTGCTCAGAGTCCGCCTGTACCTCCCAAAACTGTCTGTGATAATGCCCCGGCCGTCTTTCACCCCAATGGTTTCGAGGAAGTTCTCAAAGTGTTGACTATCCTTCTCAGGAATGAACGGCCTAAGGCCTTCGCCCAGGAAAGAAAACACAAGGAGGAGAACGTTAGCCACCGCACGCGTTTAATACAGCGACGCGCCGGCGCGTCTGCAGGGGGACGGTCAGGGAAGCCAGGACGTGTTTTAAAGGGGATTTGTTCAGCCGGATGAAATTCTGGGGAACGTTTCTAGTCTGAACCTAAGCAGAGCCGTCTCATCTCCAGCGCGAGTGCACCAACGGCCTACGAGTCAGGCTCGTTCTCTAGGCTCCTACCTGGCTCAGAGAGAGGAAACCAGCCCTCCCGAGGGTGACTTGCCCCAGCTGTACCAGGCCGGCCTGGAATGACCCTCCACCAGAGCAAAGCTCCCTGGTAGACCTGATCCAGCACCCAAAGGAGCAAACTGCCACAGAGCACGCCGGGACCCTAAGGAGCAGCTCCACTCCCCAGGCAAAGGGCTCCTGTGGCCTCGCTGCACCGTGAAGACGTCTCGTTTTTAGATGATGGCCCCACGCCCTGATCCTCTCGGCAGCACCCAGCTATCGAGGCAGGCTGCAACATCGCTCCCCCCCCCCAAAAACGCGCTGTCCTCCCTCTGCTCTGCCATGCAGCGAGACGCCAGGGCTTCACCCCCCCCAGCTGCTCCCCGCAACACCTGGACAGGTTGGGACACAACCTGGAGGTCCGAACTGAAATTCACAGCCCGAGTGTCTCGCTTTGCACCGGGCTCTTCCTTCCGGCAGTTCCCTACTCTGGTCACACCTATTAAATCAGCCGTCCACGAGGAATCACTGAGTCACGGGTACCTGCGTCAGCAGAGCTGTTCACAAGGAAACCGTCCGCAGCTCCTGCTCCCCTCCCTTGCCGGCACAGCACAGAGCTTGGCGGGGAAGCCCGCTTCGGGCAGCCCCGCGGCCCGTGGCGCCCCTTGCCCAAGGCCCCAGCCTGCTCCATGCTGGCTCCGCGCAGGCCAGCAGCGCTTTGGGGGCCACCGGGGACTCCATCGCGTGGCCGCACGTCACATTGACGCCCCTGAGAAATGCAGACGCTGCCCGCGCACGGGCTGAAGACAACTCACGACAGAAGGGGAGCTAAAGCAGGATTTCCAGAGCTCAAAAGGATTGTCTGCTGCTACATCATCACTGAAACATATTGCTCAGCTTTACTGAGCTTATTACTGTAACAGCATCAGCACGCGATTAAGGCACCCAAAGGAGAACAGGCAGGGTGGTTTCAAGAACATCTGTCCCTGTCTCCCTCTTTCCACCCCGGCGCAGGCCGGCATCTCGCGGCAGGGCTACAGCCCACGGCCGACGGGGCAGGAGGAACAGCTGTCACTGGAAAGCTACCCTGACTCAAACAGCCCAACAAGGTCACTAGGACAAACGTTACGGAAGCGAGTTCCTCGATTATGACAGCTAACCTAAGCGGGAGGAAACGTCCCGGGTCCCAGAGCACGTTTCTCTTACAGCGCCCACCACCACGAGCTCAGCAGGCAGCGGTGGGGCAGCTCCTTGATGCACTGCACCTGTTTAGGCCAAGTCTACTTAGCCTGTCTTTTCCTCCAGCTCCAGCTGAACTCACTCAGCAGCCTGCATGCTCACCACCTTCTTTCTCCCTAACCCCTCCACGGTGCACACCCTTGCCTTTCCTGCTCAGTCTTGCTACTGCCAAAATCTAGACACCTCCCCAACGGCCCACATTCAAGCCCATCTTTAGGGCCTCAGTGCTCCCAGCTGCTTGGAAGGAAATTCTGTGCACTTGCAAACTTGAAATAAATCTTTTACAGGAGGTTTCCAGACTACTCTGAACCTGGGAGAAAGGTTTACTGTTCCTCAGCTCTGCTGTCTTCACACTGCCCACTCAAACCGAACCCACGTGCTGGCTGCCCAGAGGGCAGGGCTACAGCCCATGGCCGACGGGGCAGGAGTAACAGCTGTCACTGGAAAGCTACCCTGACTCAAACAGCCCAACAAGGTCACTAGGACAAACGTTACGGAAGCGAGTTCCTCGATTATGACAGCTAACCTAAGCGGGAGGAAACGTCCCGGGTCCCAGAGCACGTTTCTCTTACAGCGCCCACCACCACGAGCTCAGCAGGCAGCGGTGGGGCAGCTCCTTGATGCACTGCACCTGTTTAGGCCAAGTCTACTTAGCCTGTCTTTTCCTCCAGCTCCAGCTGAACTCACTCAGCAGCCTGCATGCTCACCACCTTCTTTCTCCCTAACCCCTCCACGGTGCACACCCTTGCCTTTCCTGCTCAGTCTTGCTACTGCCAAAATCTAGACACCTCCCCAACGGCCCACATTCAAGCCCATCTTTAGGGCCTCAGTGCTCCCAGCTGCTTGGAAGGAAATTCTGTGCACTTGCAAACTTGAAATAAATCTTTTACAGGAGGTTTCCAGACTACTCTGAACCTGGGAGAAAGGTTTACTGTTCCTCAGCTCTGCTGTCTTCACACTGCCCACTCAAACCGAACCCACGTGCTGGCTGCCCAGAGCGTCTGACCCCACCTCACCAAGGCCAAGGCGCCTGCTATTGCTAGCAGCCTGCAGCCACGCAGCGGGAGTCACGCTGGTTGCCCCCGAAGCAGGGCAAAAGCTGGCGTTCAGTCCAGCACGGCCCCGCAAGGAGCTGCGTTGCGTGTGCGCCGCAGAGCATTTTACCAGTCCGAGCACCCGGGCCGGGGAAGGCACGCTAGATCCGCTTTTGGGCGATGTGCGCCGCAATATGAAGCCAGCCTCCGAGACAGAGCACAGTGACCTTGTTGTTGCAATAGGTTTGGTAACGGTGACATTAAAAGCAAAGAGGTTGCAGGCGCACCGATGAAAGGAAAGGATGCTGCTGCGCTGGCGGCGGCGGTGGAGTCGGACTGCGCTTGGGGGTACCGAGGACAAAGGAGACAGAAGCTGGGCTCCCAGGAAAGCCGGCTGCAAGCTGCCCCTCTGCCTGCGCCGGGCCAAGTCCATTGAGCAACTCGGACTGCTCTTAGCAGATCGCCTTTTAAAACAGGGCTAAAAACCAAGGCATCCTTTCTCAGCAACGATAGGCACGGCCACAGACCAGGCTCCCACGCAGCGCTGGGCTTGGTGCACCCAGCCCTGCCTGCGGCTGATCCCCCCCCAGCCCACCCGACCTGGCCTGCTCTGATGTGCGGAAACGCTTGGGCTCTCGCTCGCAGAGCGCTCCAGAGCTCAGGCCGAGCAGCTCGTTGCGTGCCAGGCAGGGAGGCCGAGGAACCAAAACCTGAGGAGGGCAGAGGGTCCCTGAGAGACCCAACCACAAACCCACACCCTCGATGGCCTGGCCAGAACCGGAGCAGGGGGAAGCAGCCTTCGGTCACGGAGATTTCCAAGCCAGACAGGGCTGTGGGATCGTCTGACGGGACCTCCTGCGCTGAGGGGCTCTGGAGGGCTCGCTGGCAGTCCCCAGCTGGTCTACCACGGGGAGAGCGCGCGCAAACACCTTGGTGTCTGCCACTGAGACAGTATCGCAAGGGGAGAGATGTATAAGTCCAGACAGGTGGGTCCCAGGCTCTGGAAGATCAAAAATCTCCTCCACCCTCACTCAGCCAGACGGTACGAAACTCAGGTGCTCTCCAAAACCTGCTATTTTAATAAGCTATGGAGCCTGCCTTCCAGTCTGGCTGCAGGTGCCAGACACCCCAGCTAAACGTGGGGAAGGAGAAGGCCTCCCGATCCCAGCCACCAGCTCTGTGGAAGGGGCTATTCCTCCGCTTCCTTTGCTCTTCATGAGCGGAGTCTACTTTACATCCCGCTCCCCAGACACGGTCTTGAATGACACAGGCCAGCCTGCTGAGGCCATGATGTAATCACAGTATCATCCGAGCTGCAAGATGCTGTGAGGCTAAAAGGCGTTAACAAACAAGCAAGCACGGCAGATGGCTGGGGAGGGGAGTGTAAAACAACAGAGCTGTGTCGAGGCAGGCCTTCAAAGGCTCCCTCTTTCAGATTATTAAAGACAAAAATCAAATCAGGGAAGCCGAGGTAGGAGGGACTTGAAGATCCTCCGAGGCCGGCGGCCTCCTCCTAGCTGAGGGCAATGAAACAGTCCTGTTCACCTCCCAGGTAACAGTGCCGGCATGTCTGGCTGCTGACACTGCAGAGCACTGTTTGGGCTTCCCTCCAGGACTGCAAAGTCATTTCCAGAGAACGCCGGGCCCAGAGGCACGCTCTTAAACACACCAGCATGAACGACGTATCTGACACCAGACCTGTCCGGTGCCAGACACCTCGCCTCAACAGTCGGTCAAGGAAGCAGGACCTGCAGGGTCCCTCTGAACACCTTCTGAATCCTGCCGTTGGGCACAGTTCCACATGGCCACTGAGGGCAGCAGGGAACACCACACTTTGCTGACTGTTTCAGGAGCCAAGGAGCTCATCCTGAACCCTGAAGACAATCAGCAGGAGAGCCGCAGACGGAGCCAAAGCGAGACACAAAGAGAGGACACTCGTATGTCGTTACCTTTAGCCACACAAAAGCCAAGTGTCTCAGCTCCCTCTGCAGTCAGCTGGGAGAGATTAGTATCTCAAGGGATGATTCGAGCCACTCTGAGACAGGGGCCTGAGCTAGAGGAACTGAACTGCCCTCAGGAAGCTGGTGTCTCCAAGGAGAGATGAATCAAGGGATTGCTCACTCCTCGCTCAGCTACACCTCAAGTACAGGAGGCCGAGCAATCTTTGCACCTTTCACCCCCTCCCCTTTACAACCTTCCATCAGCTAAACTGCCCTTGTGAGAGGCCCATGCCTTAGAGAGATCAGTACCAGGCACTTCCAGCCCTGCCAAGGGGCCGGGAGCAGACCGAGGCAGGCTCTCACTCTCCAGTTTGTTATCCATGAGGAATCCGTGGCAGCTGAAACTCACCTAAGAGCAGGAACTTCCTACTGTCCCCATAGAGCTGCTTCAAGTTGATGCAGAACTCATGTATCGAAGCCCCATTGCGATACTCATGTAGGAGCATTGCAAACTGCTGGATCTCTTGGGAAGAGAGTTTCGTTCGTAGCTGAGGAAGAGAAGAACATCACAAACATCACTCATTTTTAGGAGCATTCTTTCAATGCTGATGAAAATGGAGGGGGAAGAGATCATGGGAAGCCTGGGAATTGGGTTTATTGCAACTCGATTTATTGCTATTAGTCACCTGCCAGCCAAGCTGCAGTAATCAACCAGCTCGCCCCAACGGAAAGCAGGACAGGCTGGCACAACCCACTACTGAGCTGGCAGCTTTCAAACTGGGACAAGCTATGAGTACATCCAGAGTCTATAACTCATGAAGTGACAGACCTCGAGGGCTGCGTGCGGTGTGGCATGCCCTAACGCAGTGAGAGGGGATAACAGGGTGGGGGGGGGGGTGGTCCTGCAAGAGAACAGTGACAGCCCGTGTTCGGATCCCATGGGGGCTCCAAGCAGAATTTGTCCGAAAAGGAGAAGGATGAGATGCTACAGTTCCTACGCCAACACGGATGCACGTTATACAAGGAGGAGGCAACAAACCCAAATCACCTGCAGGGCCCAGACAATGCTGACTGGAAGCAGTTGAAGCCAGCATGGAGCTCAGTCTCTGCCAAAGGCACAAGCATGTTCCCAAGAGCACTCGAACATCCTAGAGAGAAGAAGACCCCTCCACCCTTTCCTGCGACCAGGTGCTGCCTCGAGGACACCCTACCGTCATCATGTAGTCCTGGAGCAGCTCTGTCGCTGTGGTGCTGAGCTCACTCTCACTGACTGTTTTAATGTGAGGAGACTGTTGTGTCGAGAAAGAAGAGGGGGAGTTGTCACCTGCATCCAAGGTTTCTGGAAAGGAACTGAAAGGTAAACAGATCGTGAGCCGTGCAGAGCTCCTCAGGCAGCAACTGCATCCTGATCACAGCACCGGAGAGCCGGGAAGAGCTGTCACGCAGGGTCACGCGTAGTCACACTCTCACTGCAGGAAAGGCTGCCCTCCGCTGCAGCCTTCCATTCCAGAGGGTGCATGAAGGACTGAAATACAGCTAGGGGAGTTTCACCGTATTAGTTTTGTGATTTGCTGAAAATGAAGGCCCGTGCAGAAAAAGATCCCCTCCAATTGCTTCCTCAGAAATTTTGGGCGGAGAAAAAAAACCTGCAAATACCTTATTTTGCTGTTTTTAAATTTGAAATTCTCAAAGAATGTCAATCAACTTAAAACAATTGGTTTGTGTGCCAGGTTTTCAGTCCACAAATGCTCTCAACATTTTCAGCATTCACCCTGATCCCAGAGGGAAAATGTTTCCAAAATAATGGTTTTTTTTTTTTGGCAAGATGGTGGAAACATTTCTCCAAACCCTAGTTAAGAGTCCACCAAGGCAAACCAGTTCTGTGAAAGTCACAGCCCCCGCTCCTGATGATGCCTGCGGCTGAACGCATAATATATATATGAGCTTCCCTGGAAAACTGTGGTAACAGAACAATACAGCAAAGGATGCTGAGGAAGCAGGGACCACGGTACTGTACACAGACAGAAATAATGCTGTCAAATGTTTCAGCCAAGCTGATCAGAAGCTTTTCAATGTGCAGACTGCAGCAGTTCCTGCTTTAAACCTGACATTGAAGCTGTATGAATAAGGTGTTACCCCTAAGTGCCAAGCTATCACATTATACAGTGCTCGCTCTCAACTTACAAAGTGCTTGCTTCTGTTTCGTAAGATTCTTTAACGTCCACTTTTGTAGAAGAGTCATCTGCAAGGAAGATATTCAAGACATAAAGTTTGAGAAGCAGAAATGCAGCGCTTTTTCTAGCCTGTGACCTATGCAACACGGATTTCTGACTCAGCATTCATAGCTGGAACAAAAAAGAGACTGCAGGACTGGGGCTGAGGTGGTGCCGGAAGAGGGAACAACGCTGTGTCAGGGCTGGTTACAGACTCAGCAGAGATGCAGAACTGCAAAGGGACAAAGCACCATTTTATTAACTGCTTCCACCCAGCATGAATAGAGAAAGGCAAAGGGTATGGAGAGAAAGGACAGACCTACCAAATCTAATGTCTTCAGGCTTCCCATAGCCCTGCCGGGGAAATAGCTCCGGGCAGGAGATATCCTTTGCGCCATTCTACCTCATACACAGTTAAAGCAGAGGAGGGACTTTTCTCAAAGCCTTGCACTATCTTTGCCTTTACTCACCCTCACTAGGGCAGGACTCAATAGAAATGAAGGCCCTAGGTGGGGCCAGAGCTGATGCCACTGGAGATGCATCACGGCTGACAATCAATACAGAGATGACCCTGCAGGACAGGAAGCCACCAGGCTGGGCCAGGCTGATGCTGACTGGATTTCGGAGGGTGGCAGGAAGAGAGGCAACAGGCACTGGTGCAGACGGGAAAGACTCCCAGGCAGGAGAGGCTCAGGTAAGAAACAGGCAAACAGAAAGAACATGGACTTACCACTGTGTAAGGACATGTGTCGCGTCGGCGTGGACGCCCCATCAAATATTGCTCTATCTAAGAAGTCTATGGTGGACTCAGTGTAAACAATCTGGAAGACTTGGCTGAGAAGTGAGCACAGCTCCTCTGCAGTCACCTGGGGAGGGAGCAAAGAAAGGGCTGTACAAGGCAGACGATAATGCAACGGCCTTCATCTTCAGCTCTCCAAAGTGGACGTGCCACGCGGGACAGCAGGGTACCTGGCATTTATTAGGCTGTTGGCTCCCCAGTGAGGAAAGGGAACCCGCTCGTCCAAGATGTGGGACGCTGCCCTGGACCTGCAGGGTGACTAGGTCTGGGGGCGACAGGTCTGGCATCTTGGAGCTTGCTGCCAGCTTCCCCTCGCCACGACCTCACAGCAGCCTGTGAGCTAACTTTGCTCCTTTGCCGCAAGTGGTTTTCCTCAGCGCTAGAGAAGATGAACTCGTGAAACGTATCACTCCTCATCACCCTTCCGCAACGCTGAGAAACACCTCAGCTCTCTTTTACCAAGCAGCCTGAGGCAACAGAAGATCAGATGCTCCATCATCTGAACAACCAACTCACAGCTATTAAATAACATGAAGATTTCACATCCATGCTCTGTCCTATTCTCCTTCCTTGGTTCAGTTCCCTGGGACTGTAGCTACTTTGCTACATTTGTTCTGTTATAACCTACATCCCAAATAGCTGCCATCACCCCAGAGAGTGCTACAGATAATAAAACTGAAAATGAAGAGTGAGAAACTCCACCCTTAAGGCTCCTGCTGTAGAAATGGGAGCACACAGGCAGAGATCAAAATCTCCGCATCTGGATCCTGGAGAAAACAAGTTTCCAGATCAGCACCAGGGGAACATCCTGGTTAGCAAATCCTATGTGGAAGAGATTCAGTTGTCTTCACAGATCGCCTGCTACCGGAGAAGGAGCTGGACAGTCGGCACCACAAACAAGGGAAAACCATCCTCTGATATCATCTCGTGTTGGAACTAGCTCATGAGGCTGGGGCAGGGACCAAGTTTCCTCCTCTACGGAGCACCTCGTGTGCCAATGGAGCCCGACTCACACCCTGTGCGGAGAGAATGCTCCAGGCAGCAGTGGAAGTTTCTCCCACGAAAGCCAGGATTTTGGGTGCAGGGAGAAGGGGCTGCACAACTCCACATTTCCAGGGCCCTGGTCCTTCCCATCTTGGAGGCTGCCTAAACACATGGAAGAGCCTGCGTACAGTTCACACGGCGCCAGGCCTCAGCTTAGCCGCATGCAAACCAGGGCAGTTCCTCTAAAGCCAGGACACCCTCACAGGTTTGCGTCACCAACCAAGGGTCACTAACAGACACTTCCATCAAGGGCATCCAAGCAACGGGCTGCAGGCCGCCTCTGACTTACCTCCTGCCCCAGAGGCCAGGGCAGAGCCTGCAAGAGCTCTCCTAGCAGTGCACGGCTTGCCTCCTGACCCATATCCCAGACCCTCCTTGTCACGACTGAGCCTATGTTTGTCACACAACCTGCAGCCAGGTACGCTCCTGGTCATGAGAGAGAGGGGACACTTGGTGAGGTGAAGATCAGAGCGTGCTAGTTGTCAGTCATGAGAGAGGCCAGCCTGGGGCTCTTGGTTCTCTGCTGCCAACCTAAGAGGTTGTGGCCACCCCAGGTTAAAGGCCAAAATCCTCCCTGTGGTCCCATTCACGTTATAAACGGCAGTTCCCGAGTGACTCTGGATGCAATCTCAATGTGGGACAGAGAAACAGTTTAGTGTTTGAATCTTACTTTGTTCTCCGTAGCCAGGACCACCAAGCAGCAAGCTTCGACAGGTACTACCCCACTCTCGGACAGCGAGCCCGAAGTAAGCGCCTTGGAGCTTTCGGCACAAAGACTCTGGCTTGGGGAGATCCCGGGGTCCTGAGCTGAGAAACAGAGAAGTCGTCATGGAAAGGCTGAGGTGGGGGAGAAAAGAGAAATGTATCCTGGCACGCCGAGCTACCTTCTGAACAGCCTGGAGCTGCACTAACAGCTCACATCCAGCATGCACAAAGCTGCTTTTGTACCCGCCCAGCAGAGCGGCTGCACAGCCGCATCAGACTGACATGGTATTATTCCTTCATGGGCTTGGGCTGGGCCTCAGCTCAAGAGGTTTCCGTGCACTGAAAGCCAAAATTGCCAGGTGAACAGAACCGTGTGGGGACAGGTAACTTGGGGAAAACCAAGCACCGTTCAGGTAACGTTCAGCCCTCCCTCAGCTGCCTTCCTTGCTTGCTGTCCTCCACCCTCGGCCAGGCAAGCTGGGACTCAGAGGCTGCACCCTCGTGCTGCGCGGCACCGTGCCCCTGGCAGCGCTCTTGGGACAGGCTCGGCACGCAGGGGACAGCCATACTCAGAGACATCGGACGTGGCTTGAGAAGGTTCCTAAATCCTTGCCGCTCGGAAGGTGGTGACAGCAAAGCATGTTCGTCAGAGTTGCCTAAGCCAAGCAGGGAATCTCACCCCGACCCCATTTCTCCTGGAGGCTGCCACTCGGGTTGCAGCTCCTCTGTGCCACCAGGCTGGAGGCCTCGCTGTCCCTGTCCCCACGCTGCTCTGCTGCTGCTTCCTGGAGGATTTCCCAGCGCGGCAGCGGGAAGCGGGGCC